CCGAGTTCTCAAGGGCTTCAGTGTCCGCTGCCACTGAGTCAGGATGGCATCTCTGGCCCCGCTCCACTTCCCTCGTCCCACCAGTCGGTACTGGTAGGGCGAGCAAGGGCCAAAGAAGACGGCCAGGGCCAGCCGGGGATCTGTCAGGAGCAGCTTCAGCATGTTGGGCTTTACACCGGCACATGAAGCAATTTCATCGGCGTAGCTGATAAAACTCATCTTCAAGTTCTCCCTCTCAGCAGGATTTCTTCAATGGGACAGAAAAGAGAGAAAATCAAATAGCATCATCCCCTCCCAGTTCGCAGCTGCCTGGAAAACAAAAGCTCTGGCCTCAAACGTCAGCCAAGCCCCAGTCTCTGGGTCTGAGTTCCCCCAACCTCAAATAAATCTAAAGGCACTGAAAGAGCCTCTGTGGGGTTGATCACCAGCAGTTACCTGGGGCAGGGAATAGGCAAAAGCTTGTTATATCTCTGCAACCTAGTTGTGGCCTCAGAAATAGTTCTAGCATAACACTGCCATTGTTGTAGTGCCACAAATACCCATGCTATGTCCTTCCCCAAGGTTTGCAGGTGTAGATTTGGCAGGTTTTGAGAGGAGGAGGAGTAGACCTTCACAGATAAGACTGCAAAGGAGATCAGGAGATGCAGAAAGTTTTCTATGCTGGGAGGGACCTCCAGGATTTTTCTGCTTGAGGCTTCATCTTCCTTGCAGGAGGGAGGACATGTACTGAACCTGCTTCGGCAAATCCAGGACAGTCTCGAGTTTGTCTCTGTTGCACCTCAGACTCCCGTATTTCTTTGTAACAGCATCATGTCTGCAGTCGCTGAGGCTCCTGGTGGCAATGCCCAGGCAAACCCAACCTGCACCTCCCCTGGCCTGAGGTCCCCTCCTTGCTCCTGAAGGCTGCTGCAGGACAGCACATCCACTATACCCGTCCCACAGCCTTGAGGACGTGTCTCAACCTCCTGTAAAATCCCAATGCCAGCAAGGCAGGATGTCAGCTCCCACCTACATGATGGATGAGTTCCAACTTCATCTAATGCTCATCTTGACCTGTCAAAAACTGCCACCAAACTGTACCCCACCTGCATTGCCTAGGGTCAGTACGGTTTCTGGATGAGGCTTGGCCCTAACTCCACAGATCTCTGCAGCCTGGACTTGGGAAGGAGAAGCCACGAGATGGCAGCCTTAGTCTGGAGGAAACCGAACTTCCATCTTCACATGCTGGGAATATGAACATGGCTTGAAGACCTGTTGGAGGGGCCCTGCAGGTCCTTGGTCTTGCCATAAGCGGCTCCAAAGCACCGTGCCCTTGGTGTCTTGGTCCATCATCCATAAAGGAGTCACAAGAGCATTTGCCCACCTCACTATGGGTAGTGAGGAAATAAATACATCCAGGAAGAGTTGGATCTCCTAGGTAGGTCTCTCCTGTGACCACGATAGTGCCCCCTTTTTGGGTGTTTCCCTGGCACAGAGCACCCCGGGTGCAGGAGCATCACCCACCTTTTCACCAGTGGCTTCTTCTTTGACACATCAGCCATCATCTTGGTGTTGGGAGGGAGCTTGTTCCAGCCTGAGAAGAACAAAGAAACCAGAGGCCTCCAGCAGCACCTTAAGCAGAAAAGTTTATCCCCTTCCCATGCTCCCAGTTCCTTTACTGAGAGCATTTGTGTTTTCTGGTTATAGGGTCCAGGGACATGGAAATGCAGTTGTGGGACAGGGGCTAATGGCCATGGCCACCACGGGCACTGTGGCTAGAGACAAAATATGCCCTAAGCTCTGTGCACAGCAGGTCAGGCTGCCCCAAACCTCCCACCCCAACAGATCCCCCCCATCCCTGCACCCTGTCTCCCACCTGCAAATATCCCTGTCACCCAGCGAGCTTGTATTTCTGCTCCCACCATCACAGAGCCGGTCAGCTGGACTAAGCCAATGATGGCCAGCGTTGGCTTTTCCAGCTGGGGAAGGAAGATGCGTTTATAGAGGGAGCGGTTGTCATCAAAGAGGCTGCAAACCGACTCTTCGAGGAATGGAAATGAGAAGATGTAGCCCGTGGCAAAGAGCACCACGTCGATGTTTTCTGCAGTTGTCCCATCTTCAAAAACAGCAGAGCTTTCGGTGAACTCCTTCACCTTTGGCTTCAACACAATGGTCCCAGAGAGAAGGCAAAATGGCAGCTGTTCGTTGATAATTATCTTGAAGTTGGAGCTTGCAGGTGGAAAAAAGGACAGCAATGTTAGCATCTGACGGGACTTAAAACATCTTCGTTGGCCAGAGTTCCCCTCCAATGATTTGCTATTCTACAAATATCCCCTGAAATTAAAACATGAACATTTTACACCATTAAAAACCCCTGACCAACCAACAAAATAGTCAGAAAAAACCCCACACCTTTTGGTGGAAGCCAAGCCATAGTTCTCGTGGTTAAACCGTGAATTGAACTTTCGAAACTTGATCCTCTTCATGAGGGCTGCTGGGAGAAGCCACTCAAGAAAGTGGTTGAAACGGGTGGTGCTGATCATGTCCCAGGGGAAGCCATGGTCTGAAAGCCGGCTTAACACCCATGTGCTGCTCCCGGAGCTGAGGAACACCTAGGGGAGAAGGAAGGTCTTAGCCTCCTGCCCAGACGTCTCATTACCAGTTTTGCGCTTGAATGGAAAATCTCATCTGTACTTGGAAGCTGAGAGGGATCGAGACAGCAACCAGATGAACAAACAGCTGGTAGTGCCTTCTGCAAAGTTCCCACAGCTTGGGGACAGCCACAGCTGCTGGGTGGCAACTCTTCAGCTGGCCCAAACTCTCCAGGAATTGCAGAGCTTCTCGAATTGCCCTCAATTTGAAATGCTATTTATTGACAAACCCAGTAGGCAAAGCTTCCTGTTCATGCCCTGAGCCACTGGCTCTCTCGTTTCTGGCCAGGCTTGTCACCACTGTGAATCCTAGAATCACAGAATGGCCCAGGTTGGAAGGGACCTTAGAGGTCACTTAATCCAACCTCCCTGCCATTTCACCCCACCCCCCCTGCCATTGGCGGGGACGCCTCTCAACTAGATCAGGCTACTCAAGGCTCTGTCCAACCTGGCCTTGAACACTTCAAGGGAGGGGGCATCCACAACTTCTCTAAGACAATTTATTCCAGAGTCTTGCCACCCACGTACCGAAGAATTTTTTCCTAAGATCTAACAGAAATCTGTTTAACTGAAATCCATTTCCCCTTGTCCTATTGGTGGATGCTTTTGTAAAAAGTCCCTCCCCAACCTTCCTGTAGGTTCCATTCAGGTATTGGAAGGCATATTCTGAAGATATACCTTCGCAGCCACGTGGCTCAGCTCCACAGATAAGTCACCGCCGGTGTTGCCAGCGCCAACCACAAGGACCCGCTTTCCCCGGAAAGCCTCCACGTCCCTGTATTCGCAGCTGTGGAGGTACTGGCCTTTGAAGCGAGTGTTGATACCTAGAAAGAGAGCAGGGACCATCTCCTACTACCAGATACATTTGGTTTTCCCAGGTCATACCTGGATTCTCTGCAAACCCCAACCCTCCATCTTCCACCCCTGCTTGCAGCTCAGAAACCTGTGGAGATCTTGGCTCCCTGGGTGATGCCATCCTCTTACACTTCCTTGGCTCAGCCCTGATTTGAAAAGTCTCATGCAAGAGCCTGGTTGCACCTTTATGAGGTGTTTTTCCCATTCCTGGAAATTCCCCCCACCATTCCTACAGGGTGAGGGTCCCCAGCATGAGGCATTCATGGAGCAGGCAAGCTTGCAGAGGAGAATCAACCAAGGGACTCATGGGGGCTGGGTGAAACCCTGGAGGAGCCCAGCCAAAGCAGGGCTTACCTGGGAAGGAAGCCAATGGTAAGTTGGGCTTCTGGTAGTGGCCGGTGCAAACCATGACAGCATCGAAGATGTGTGACTCCTGGATGCCGTTGGTCTCAGTGACCACCTCCCACTGGCCTGAAGTGGTGAAATCCGGGTGCTTCCTCACACTGAGAACTGTTGTCTTGTACCAAAGCCCAAGAAAACAGCAGTCAGGGACTGTGCCAATTTTCAGAGAGGAGCTGCCTGCAAAGGGCTGGGGCCACTGGGGTCAGGCTGGGCCCCTGCAGAGCAGCAAGTCAACCCTGAAGATGTTAAATCCCACCCTGCACCATTCCCCCGATGATGGCATTGAGGCAAGGGATGCACCAGGCAGGCCATGTTTGAGCAGCGTAATTTAAAATATGGATCCAAAATTCAGGATGCAAAAGGTACATGATCCCTGTGAGATTGCACCTAGCATTGTCCTGGCCCACCTGGATGATGCCCTGGTATCTGCAGCTACTGATGACTCTTCTCACCATGGTGTTTGGAGTCCTCACTCACCTTGAAGTGTATGTGCTGCAGGAGGTTGAAGTGCCAGGCGTACATCCGGAAGTACTCCAGAAGGAGGCTGTGGGGTAGGCAACTGGGAAAATCCTCTGGGAAAGGGAAGTCGCTAAAGCAGGACATCTCCTTGGAGGTGTTGCTGATGATGGAGCGATACACGCTGACCCTCCTGCCATCCATGGAGTCCTGTGTGAAGCCAGTGTTGCTGTTTGTATGTGTTCAGGATTTTCTCCCCTCAAAGTATCTGAGTGTATTTCCTCCTTGTATTCAGGTGCAAGGAATAAACCAGGACTAGCACTTGGTGATCATGGCTTCTGCTCCCTTCATCTCCTTCTCCAGGGGAAACCCTGTTACTGGGATAGGGACAATCCCTGAGGTCATGGCCAACCTTTCCTCTTTGCTGCAGGCAAAGGGCATCCAAGGGAGAGGAAAAACTCAGGAAAAATCCTCCCCACACAGGCAGAGCCCACTGACCGTGTAGCGCCAGATCCCCCCGATGTCCTCGCTCCTCTCGAAGCAAGTGGGCTCTAGCCCCTCATCCAGGCAGCACTTGATGGAGGCCAACCCAGCAGCCCCGGCCCCGATAACAGCCACACTCCGCACCATGCTGTCCGTCAGCAAGCAACGGGCCGGTGTGCAAACAACTGGAAATAAAATAGCCCGGGGATTAGCAGAAACACCAGTGCCTTCTTCTCGTTCCCAGCAAAACACTCCTGACTGCAGGTGTCCACAGAGGAAAACTGTCCTTGGAGAAAGCCATCACCAGCTCCTGACTCAAGGTTACAGATGGATGCTCCTCATTACCCTTCCTGCTGTGCTAAGCCCACACTGAAGGCCCAGCAATTCTCCTCCTGCAGACAGGGGGAAAGGAGACTTTCAAACCTTGCTGCGCTGTTGCTTCTATTTATTCCCTTTTCTGGCCCAAACCAGGGCATGCAAAAAAGGGGAAAGGGCTCACAGCTGTCTGCTTCTGTCTGCAAAAAGCCATCCTCCTGAAACATTTTCAAGAAACCATCTCAGCCAAACTGGCTCCTTTTCATGCTATCCTTTTCAATTTCCTATTAAAGGGCATTATCTTGAAAACAAAAAGTTGGTTTTTTTTTTAAAAAAATGCAATGCTTGACTGAGCAGGAGCACAGCGCAGCAATTGAGAAGTTAGACAGCACTGTGAAAGCATAGCTGGGATTACAGAATACACAAAAGGTAAGAAACCCAGGAAACACAGGGAATAAATGGGAGGAACTCAAAGCTCGGGGTATGTAAACTGAGCTGCACCAAGCTTGGCTGGAAAGCGAAGAAACCAGGAAGAAAATGAAACCACATGAACTTTGATTAGATAACAAACACTCCCACTACAGAGTCTGAGGAGTCGTTTTTACCTTTTTTTCTACTTGTTTTGTGTCAAAAAGTAAGTTAACATAAACAGGGACAGGAAGAAACTGCAGAAAGCCAGAGAAAAATGTGAGAGGTGCAAGAAAATCCCTCTGCATCCAAAAGCCCAGCCAGCAGGAGCAGGGCAGGACGTACCAACCCTCTCCCACCTGCTGTTTCCGGAGCCTCCCTTGTCCTTGGGAAAGCACAGCAACATGCCCAGGGTGCTAAAGTAACCCCTCTCTTCCAGCACTGCCTACAGATGACTTTTTGCTCCAGGGGGTCCCTACAGCACCCCTCTCCCCCCGCCAGCAGCGAGGCAAATGCCAAAACCCTGGAGAGATGCCTGCCCACATTTAAAGCCTGCAAAACCCAGCCGGAGAGAAGCGAGAAGCAAACCTTGCTGGGCAGTGCCGTGCCTTTGCTGCTTGGGCTTCAGCCGAACTTTGCTTTGAGTTTCTCTAGCTGTAGATTTAAAGGAAAGGCTGAAGTCCGGGCAGCTCGCCACGGCTTTTGCACCGTCGACCTTTACCCCCGCATTTCCCCGCTCTTCTGTACTTCAGCACACTGGCAGGAAGTTCTCAGCCTCCTGTGGAGAGGCAGGGTGGAAATCCAGATGGCAATCCCAAGAGGACCTGCTCTTGCAAGGACTCCCAAAGCTGCAGCTCGCCACTCCCCAAGCCCTGGCAGCAGCTTGGGGTTGTCCTGATGTGCTCCCCTCCATGTGATGCCTGCTTGACACCCCCAGGAAGTCAGCAAAGCATGCTCCCTTTGCGTGTGCACCAGCAGACGGCATGGATGGGGGACATGGCGCACAGTGCAGCCCAATTTTTGGAGGTCAATTAAAGCCCTTACAGCCCCAGACTTGTGGGTTGCCCATGGGACCTCCTGGCACAGCCCCAGCCCGGGCACAAGACCCCCAGCCATGCAGAGCCATGCCCTTGCCACAGCTGATGAAATTTTATTGATTGAAAGTCTCTCTATGTTGAACAGGCTTTAAAATCTACCAGAAACCAAAAACCAGGGCAGCCAAGAGCAGGAGAAACCCCACCACCGTCAGGAAAGAAGGGCAGATGCTGGAGGAGCTGGCAGGCACTCGTGTTTTTGTGGGCTTCAGGACCCGGTCCCACTGGGTGAGGATAGCCTGGCGTGCCCCCTCCCAGCGCCCAGGGCCCCCCAGGCGGTACTGGTAGGGGGTGCAGGGGCCAAAGAAAATGGTGAGGGCCAGCCGGGGGTCTTTGAAGAGCAGCTCCAGCACACTGGGCTTGGCACCGATGAAGGAGGCGATCGTGTCCAAGTAGGGCAGCCACTCGGCTTTGAGGACTTCATCAAAAGACAGACCGAACCTTAGTGAATCGGCAAAACGAAAAGAGGTGGAAGAAAGATTGGCATCCGTGGAGCGGACTTAGAGGTCAGATCCTCTGCATCCACATCGTTGTTGCATCCAAATGCAACCGGGCTTCTCTTAGGAAGGGATTGGACAAATGTGCAAGTGGGAATCAGAGTCTGTCCAGGCCCAAATCCTTACTGTGACCCAGCACATGTAAAGTGATGCTGGCCCTGGTACACACCTTTTTTATATGCATCAGTGGTCCTTCACTTCATCACCCACGAGTTTTATCTGGAGCCCTTCACTTCTGTGGACCCTTTCTAAAAGACCTTGCCAAACCAGTTTTGTTTGGTTTTATTTTTTTAGCTATTTTCCCTTTGGTCTCTGCAGAGGAGTCGCATGCAGCCTGAGAAAGGCAGAACCCTTTATTCTCCCTCACATAGAATCATAGAATCATTAAGTTTGGAAAAGGCCTCTAAAATCATCAAGGCCAACTGTCAACCTCACGTTCATTTCCACCAAGTATTGCAAAAATACATGGAGAATAAGAGAATTGCTACCAGTTCGCCTTCACTGCAGAATTCACAGCTTCATGTCTCACCTTCAGAGGGCTGAAAAAAGCCACGTGTGTTCAGCCTTCTATCGTACAGCAACTGTTCTGTGCAATTCTGTATTTCGCTCTTCTACTATAGTGACCTGGGTGAACCATGAATTAATGTTTCCTGGTTTTATCTCATTAATTTCCTGAGATTTCTTAGCCTTTGATCAGACCTTTTACCTGCCTGTGAACCACATGGTAGTGTGTTTTGATGCCTATTCACAGTGATTCAGATATCCATGCTGAGAGGGAAGACAATTTGTATGTACACCTCGGGTTGGCTTTTTACTGCTGAATTACTTTGCATTTATTAACATTAATTTCTCTGTCATTTTATCTCTCAGTCCCTGGGGACCCTGATACACTTCCCCAACTCCCAAGAGAGCTTTAGTCTTGACTACCTTGAATTAATTTCTTCCCATCATCAATAGGTAAAACATCAGCATCAAATCAAATGTTACGTTGGCTCGGTGCAAGCGAATAAGGGGGTGATTAGATCTGGGCATCCTCCCTCACCTCTGCTATATGCTCAGGGAACAGCTGCAGAGGTGAGCTGTGTTGCTGCTTCCTAAATTCCAGGAGATTTTCAACCTCCTGAAAAACCTTTGGGACTCCAGGGACTGGCTTACCTTCGCATTTGGTTTTTCTTCTTCTCATTTACTTCCTTCTCCATGACAGACTGATGAGGCAACTGGCACAAACCTAGAAGAGAGAAGAGAGCATCCTGCAGAGTTTAACTCCTGGAGGGACTTACGGATTCATTCAATGATGCAAAATGTGGGAAGCCCTTCCTTGGGAGGGCAGGAAAGCCTGATTGCTCAGATTTAGCTCAGCAGTGGCAATTCTGCCAGAAATCAGCCCTCCACGGTGGTACAAATTTACCCACATTTTTTCCTGCTTCTATAGCTTTGTACTGTTGGGGCATAGGCAGGTGATGTGGGGTGAGATGAGCCATGCAAGCGTCAGAGACGATCATCCCAAAGAGAAACCCCAGAGCTTCCCCAGAGCTGCTCTGTGGCAGAGCCTTGGTGCAGCCCTCCACACCATCCCAGTGGGAGGTTATTATTCTACTAAACAGAACAAAACAACCCAGTAGGTTTCTTTCTTCAACCCAATAACTACAAATAATTCATCTTGTGGGACAATAGGACTCTTCTCTGGTAGTCATGGTAGACAAACTACCCTGTCCCTTAAAGAACAGCAAATTCTGCCAGGATGAATCCACCACAGTTTCTTAAAGACAGCTCTTACCTCTGTATTCAGGTTTACATATCCATGTCTGTGCTCTGAATTTTAAAATATTTTAGAGAGAAAATGCAGTCTGAACTAGATTGTGGTTGCAGGCTCAAGAGCAGGGCTGCACATCAGCTGAGTCACAGCAAGGAATGGAGCACATGCTCTTGGCTTGCAGCAGGCAGAGTACAAAGCATTAGCTTAAAAGCATCAGCTTAAAGGGGGAAAAAAAGTGATTTGAGGTACATGTCATGAACTTGCACTTAGCTTAGTCCAAGCATGCACTCATATCACTGGGACTCAGATGAAGTGAGATAACTTGGGAAATCTGAAGCCCCGAAATTCTCCCTTGTCTATTTTGAAGTGCGCTTCCTAGCTCTGGGATTTCCAAGGACAGCAATCCCTTTTGGTGCAGAGAGGGGACAAGACCTGTCGAGTGTGAACTGTGTTTTGGTACACAGGAGAGCTCACGTTAGCTCTCCTACCTTTGAAGATACGGGTCACCCAGCGCGCTTGCATCTCTGCCACGGGCGTGATGGCTCCTAAAGTCTTGATCAGCCCGATGATGGCCAGGGTGGGCTTCTCCAGCTGGGTTGGGAACACATATTGGTAGAGGGATGCATGCTTGTTTTCCACCTTGACAACTGCTTCTTCTAGGAATGGGAAGGAGAAGTTGTAGCCCGTGCAGAAGACAATGATATCGATGGGCTCCTCCTCAGGATAATTGTGGAAAACAACTGAGTTGTCCTTGAATTCCTTCACGCCTGGCTTGATGGTGATCCTCCCCGTCAGGATGTAGCTTGGAAGGTCGTCGTTCAGTATGGGCTCGCGCACCAGGTGGCTGTGGAGAGCCAAGGGGCTCTGAGTGTTCGAGACCATGAACAAGCCCTCTCAGTGCTCCCATTCCTCCCCCCGGGGCTCCCAGCGCTACAACCTCCTGGTGTCACTTCCTCTGAGCAAACAGCCCTGACTCCCCCCTGTTCCAAACACTGACATGTGCCACCCTTACACCAATGTCACACTGTCCCACAGCCCAAGTGACTCACAGGCATCTCCTTCCATCTTCCTCTTCAGGAAAGAAGGAATTACTCAATTACTCTTTAAACCATCTATTTTCTGAACTGATATATGCTTTAAACCTCCCTCTTTTTCCCAGGGAGCCTCAGGAGGAAAACTCCTCTTGTCCTTCCTGGACTTTTTCGGTGTGCTCCATCTTGCATCACCTGAGGGCGTCTACAGCCTATATTCTCCAACTGGGCTACAAACTTCTCTCTGGACATCACCCCAGACTGGGTGCTGGTTGTTGCACTGGTAGACGTTGGTTGTGGGAGATCTCCCCCCTGCCTGCAGCACAAGTCCTGTGACAACACATGGGATGGGAGCCACCAGGAAGTACCTCCTCTCTGGTTGAAGGCCGTAGTTTTCATGATTGAACCGCTGGTTCACCTTGTAGTTCATCAATGCCCATGAAAGGGGCCTGGGGAGGTTGTTTCTCATCAAGCTCATAAGACGAGTGTTGTGAACCATGTCCCATGGATAGCCATGGTCAAACACACGGCTGAGCGTCCAGGCACCTCGATTGGTGCAAATAGTAACCTGGGAGAGAGTGGAGAATCAATGATCTGAATGATGAATTTGCTGCTTTACCTTCACAAAGTAACCCCAGAGGGACACAGAGCAGAAGCAGAAACAGCATCTTTAAGACCTCCTGGCAGCCGGTGATGGAGGTGAAACAGCAGAGAATAACCAGCTTGCCTTTGGGATAGTTTTTTGACCAAGAAATATGGGTTCAGAAATACTGTTTGGACACCATGCAGGGTAAACCCAGCTTGCTCTCTGTGCGGTAATGGCAAACTGAGCTATCACTGCCAGTATCACCCTGCCTGCACCTCTGGGCTGGCTGGGTGGTGGTACCTTTGCAGCTACACGGCTGGCCTCCACTGCAATGTCCACTCCCGAATTGCCCATGCCAACCACGAGGACACGCTTTCCCTGAAACACGTCAGGATGCTTGTACTGCCGGCTGTGGAAGTACTGGCCTTGAAACCTCTCAATGCCTTGGGAAGAAAAGAAACAAAACTTTCAATTACTTGAATATTTGTGCTTTTTGTTGGGAGAACTGGTGTGGAAACAGTCCAGATGGCAAGAGCAAGGAAGTACAATCAGTGGCCACAGGAGACTTGGGGAGGTCCAGCCCTCCATCCCACGCACACAGACTTAGTGCTTCCTCTCCAAAAAGGGGTCTCACAAGTGCCTGCACGGCAGTGAGCAGGGACACATGTGCTGGGAGGGACTTGGAAGACAGTTATCTGCAAGAGCTGTGCTGGTGCAGTCTCGGGATTCATCCTCTGAAAGATGGGGACACAAAGGTTCAGAAAAGCCTGCAGAGCTCCTGTCCTACCAGTGGTTTCAGAAGTGCCTGATAATGCTGATGACAAGGCAGTCCTCTCCATGCTGACAACTGGGGAGATTCATCACAGCAGTGACAGATCCAGCCCTCTCAAAGATGAAGAAGCTTCACTGAGAGAACCTTGTCCTATCTTACATACTCGGTGGATACTTTATCCAAAGCTAAACCATCCTACCTTGAAAGTTTGCCCTGATGTGACCAGTGCCTGCAAAAACAAGGCTGCTGAAGCACAAGGACATATTGCTGTTTATGCCAGGAGGTTAAAAAGTGGAAACAAGAAAACGAAGGAAGAATTTTCCCTGAGAAACAACTATTCCTTCTTCTCCTCCCAGCCCTTGGAAGCAGGTGACCGCAGGTACCTGCATACCGTACCGGGAAAACAGTGCAGGGGAAGGGATGGCTCAGAGAAATTGCCACAGCAAACCATAATGGCATCGAAGACTTGTGATGTCTGCTTCCCATCTGCCTCCGTGACCACGTCCCACTGGCCGGTGGTGGCAAAGTCAGGGCGTTTCCGGATCCTGACAACAGTGGTCTGAAACATGGAAACCAAGTGGGCTCACCATTGGTGCTCAGTGTACAAGGAACAGAGCAACACTGGGGCACCCACTACTCACCCCAAACTTGATGTGCTCCCGGAGGCTGAAATGCTTGGCATAGAGCCGGAGGTAGTCCAGGAGTCGGGCATTGGGCAGGAACACCGGGAAGTCCTCAGGGTAGGGGAAGTCGGAATACGCTGACATCTCCTTAGAGGTGTTGCTGATGACCGAGGCGTAGAGGCTGGGGCGGCCGGCCTCGATGTGCTCCTGGCATGGCACCCCGGGGTACATCAGCCCTGTGCCTTATGGTGGAGACTGCCCACCGCTCTCCTTCCCCTGGTTTCGGGGAGGGCAGCTGAGAGAGGTCAGCACCCAGCAAGGTTTCACATCCCTTCCCCACCCACAGGAGCCCAACTCAAACCACTCCCCAGCCTGCAACGCTGCAGCTCCCACTGAAAGGGGGGACAGGCACTGCCAGCTCACCGTGTAGCGCCAGACTCCCCCAATGTCCTGGCTCTGCTCGAAACAAGTGGGCTCCAGTCCTTCATCCAGGCAGCACTTGATGGCCGTTAGCCCGCTGATACCCGCACCCACCACTGCCACTCTCATCCTTGCTGTCTCCACCAGGATCCTGGGATGTGAATGGGGCTTAACCTAGGAGAAACCTCATAGATGGTCACCACACTCTGAGGGAGCTGCTGCTGGCACAACCTCTGCAGGGGATTTCACCTCCAAACCCTGCATTTACTTTATCAGCATTCTTGGCTCTTAATTTAGAAGTTGGATTAAATGTCTTAAAAATCTTAATTTTCTCTATTTTTTTTTTCCCCTTTTAAATAAATCCATCCACTTTTACAGTACGCTCACCAGGCTGCTTACAAAACTCTGCAACCCCCCAGGAAACTCGCTTTGGAAGAATGCAGTTAAGCCAGAACCCTCTGCCAATTTTGGTTTACAAGTTTAAACTATCCCTCCTTATCAGTCTAGCAAATATTTGTGTTTTATCTTTGGAGATTTCCCCCTGCCTTTCTCAGGCAAAGAAAACCAAATGTGAATGGCGACTATTCGGTCTCTGCATCACTGATCGAGTCCTGTCCCCTGTCCCTGGGGAAGACACCCCTGACTTTGACATGACCACCGAGGCCAATGGAGGGGCTGTGGGTGTAGCATGCCTTGGCTTTAGGGATGCTTTTGTGTCTCTCTCCCAAATCCCTCATGCTGGGGAGGTCGGCGTTGCAAAGACGGGCTGTTGCAAGTCTGCAAATGCCTCCACCCTGAGATTCAAAAGACAGGGTCCCAGGGCTGCAGTGAGGATGATGGACCCGAACCCTTCTTGATAGTGCCAGGCAACGAAACAAGGGACGATGGCCAGGGCTGGACATCATCCGAGCTGGGACCACCCCTCAGGTGACCTGGAGTCTGATGGCAGCCCCCGGTTTAACCCCAGCACTGGCTGGGAGCACCCTGCTCCACTGAGTTACTAACCCAGAGTACTGGAATGGCACTAGGGCCAGATGGCACTGACTCCTCTACTCTGAGAAGTGCTTTTAGCTTCTACTGGACACAGAAAATTCCTCAGTTTTCTAAAACCCACCAAATTCCCCAATTCTAATTTCAACTTTCAGCACCTAATGAATACTTTACTTTCCAAGGTTGGGATGAAAACTGGACTTTTTCCTTTTTAAATGAAAAAAAACCCACTAGCATATGATGAGTATTATCATTAACTATTTGTTATCGGGGGGGGGAAGTTTGCATGGTGGAGGTTAGCTTACATCACAAACATCTCTCAGCTACGTATACTATTTAATTCCCTACCCTTCTGCAGAGAAGCTAGAAATAGCACCCATCAAACACTGTCTCTGTATCCCATGCCTGCGCCACACTTGCCATATGAACGCTTGCAGGGACCCACAAGCATTCATAGCAGCTAACCTCAGAAGTCCCAAGCCATGAGTTGCTTCCAGGGGGAAGGGAGGGACGGAAAGGCTTTGCAGACCCCAGAGACACTCACTTACCAGCCTCAGCCGCCTGTACTCCATCTCACCAGAGAGCGGAGAGCCCTTCTTTCTCTCGATTTATAAGCGAGACTCCACGCTTTGGCAGAGGCAGGGAAGGGCAGGCGCCTCCCTCCACACTCCCACAGGGGTTGCATAAGCACAAAGAAATGTTAGCTGAAACATCATGCACTCATGTATTTCCCAGGGATAAATCACAGGGGACAAGGATGAGTTTGGACAAGGCTTTGACCTCAGCTGCTCAATATATTTAGGGGTAACCAGTGAGAAAGTATGAAGTCTCTGCAAATGAATACAGCTGGACACAGAGGCCATGGAGAGACAGCTTGTGGATGACTATGTCTTTAAGAAAACCAGTGCTTAGAAAAATATATAGTGATATTTGTGCCGTGAGGTTGACAGCAGATAGCTCACTGAGGCTCTGCAGTGTGAGCACAGGGTACACAGGGAAAGCTGCTGTCTCCATCAGGGCATCACCTTGCCACTGATAAAAGTCTCTCACGGAGCGATGGGCCCAGGTTGGATACCAGCTATTTAAGTAGTTTGAATAACCAAGGAGGGTGCAAGGGAGGGGGATTAAAAATTCATCCAAGGTCTGCAGAACAGAGGGTTCTGAGCAGCTCCATCCAAGAGAGACCTCTGCTCAGAGTCTGCATTCAGATCTGCAGGGGCGTGTAGCTGAGGGTTGAAACTGGAAGTGGAAATAAAAAGCGCATTGGTAACAAGGAAGGTGGTGATCTATAGGAAAAGTTTGCTGACATTTACCTCAGACCCAGGCACTCGGATCAAACAGATTTAGTTTGTGGAGAGACAGGACCCACCACCCCTGTGCTAGGGCACTGCTGGGAGTGCAGCAGCCTGGGCTGCCACACATCTGCTGCACCCACAAAGAGATATCAGCCTTCTTGGGCTTCCCCACCCCAGGATCTCTTGCTGTTCCTGCCCAACACCTGGCTATTGGATTTAACTCCAAGAGCATATGCCTAGTCTGGGGCTGGCTGTGCCAGCCACGCTCCAGCACAGCTCAGTGAGCCGTGGCTGAGAGCAATGCACTTGCAGGAGCTGGAGCTTGTGAAATCAGACTCATTTGTTTGAGTTCAGGTTTAAGATCACTGTCAGGAGCACGAAAAAAAACATTCACAGGACACTGTTACAGAGGTAAATGGGCCTTGTATGCCTTTGACTCTGTTGGAGTTTGCACAAGCTACACGCTCCCCAGGTCTCCCTCCCACTGGATTCTTCTCCAGATGAACAAAACCTTGCATCTGCAAAGATGCTTGCCAGCACTCAGTAAAAAAAAGTAAGGAATCCACAAAGTATTTTGTTCTTTATATGCTCCTGATTTTCTGAGTTTCCCAGCAGGCATCCAAGTAACTCACAGTTAGAGGGACACTGCGGCAGCTTCCCAGGAGTGGTGTCAGTGCTTTGGGGAGAGCGGTTTAGGGAAGCTTTCTAAAAGAACAAATTGTATTTTGGGGTAGATGAGCTACTGGCATAGAAACGGGGCCAGATGCTTTTGTTGCAGCTGCTTACAGCAGTGATGGCTCTGGCCATCCCTGGTGGGGAATCTGGTCTGGAGGTGCAGGACGAGATGCAGCAAGTGGCGCCACATGAATTTAGGGTAGAAACACCTCCAAAGCCTCAGTGCCCTGGGATTAAAACTCACTTACCTGTCATCTGCCTCAGGTCTGTGGTGTTCCCCCCGACAAATACCACTGCTATTGTCAGGACCAGGTATGTGGAACAAAAGTGTTAGTGGAAATGCACAGCTTGATAGCAGGGAGGTAATTGCTGTGATTATACACATGCATGACCGGGGCCCTGAAAAGTCCTTGGAAACACAGTGAAATTCTGTTTGCTTTACTCACCTTTGCTGCTGGCACAGTTGAGGATGGCATCCTGGGACACCCAGGAACCATCTCTTCAGCTTCTCTCTAGGGACAGTCTGTGCAGAGCAGAGAAGAGAATAAAACAGACTAGAAGAGACAACACATCAATGCGTTCTCATGTTTTCAGAGCTGGAAAAAACCTTCGCTGCGTGTTGTTCAAGCAAATAATCCCTTGGTACACTGGGCCAGGGCCCCTGAATTTCTGTTGTCATTACAAAGACAGGAGCAGACACAGCCACAGATTTCCCTGTCTCCATTTCTGAGCATTTCTTGTGCCTCCCCACCGGTAAGGGAATGGCAACCCTGCCATTACCATCACACACACAAATTTCTGGAGGAAGGAGACTTTCACCAATGGATGAAGTGAAGGCACATAATTTAGAAAACTGTTTTATCACCTTCCCTCCACCCAGCCTGGGACACCAAACAGCTGGGTTTGTCCAGGTCCTGAGGTGCTGGTGCACAACCCTCGTTAGATGCCAGGGATGTATCAGTCATGGGCAACCACAGGGAGCAGCAGGAGCAATAAATGATGGTGGCTGAAAACAAGAACCAGGAACAGGATTGCTCACATGCCTGCCCCCTGGTGAGCTCCTTCTAGCCTTGAGGAGCAAAGCTCCCTGGCACCATGATGCAAGTCTGGGCTCTGCAATGGGCTTGTTGTCCTTAAAGTAGAGGGAAGGAGGAACTTAATATATCCATTTAGTCTTAATCAGATATGAAAGGCACCTTCTCTGCAAAACTCTGGCACCAGTTTTATCATTTCTGTTTAAAAATAACACTTAAAGCCAAGGAGGAACAAATCTATGTACAAACAAGTCTCAGCGTAGCCCAGTTTGCTGTTTTCTAGTCTTCTGTCAGCAGATTTTGTCGTGTGTCACGGTGAAAGGGGACAAGAAAAAGGAAAAAAAAAGTGGATTTTCTTGTTAAGCTAGTCTCTTAAGCAAAGTGGGCCGCTCACCATCAAGCAGCTGCTGCTGCCCCACCCGATCAGGAACTGATGGGATGTGGGATCTGCGCTCATCAGTGCAACAGTTAATTTTCCGTCTCCAGTATTATCACTGCCTTCCCTTATTGACCAGGAGGCTTTAATCACTATTTCTTTGCTGCACACAGAGATGGAGGGCACAAGTATTTTACTTCAACCACACTTGGCAAAGTTTACCCTGATTTAATAAGTCACTGTGTTTTCCAAGCATGTAACCTGTGGAATTTGTCAAGAGGAAACTGCTGCCCTTGTTAAACTTATTGCATCAATAAAGCCTGGAGAACTGTGTTTTATTTAAACTTAGGTTTGGAGCATTTAAAACGTAAAGAAAACTTAAGAGCTTTCCCAGACAACTGCTCAAAAATCTTCACAAGAACATCCTCGAGGGGCGTATATGTCCTCCCTTACTCACAATGTCTTTGTACCAGGATTCAAAGCAGATAAACACACACACTCCCCCAAGAACCACTGGAGACGCATCCAAGTAACATGCAGCACTAGGAAGGACTTTAGACCCTTCTCAGCTCTTCTGAGCCAAACCTCAGTGTTAATGGGTCTGTCTCTATCAATTCACAGGTAATGAAACATAACTACTGTAGAGACTGTCAGAGCAAACAGGAATTATAGTTAAGGTAACTTTTAAACAAATAACTGTGAGGAAGAGCTGTCTGGAGGGCAGATGGTTAAGACACATGTAGTCCAGCCAGAAGGCAC